TCGAGAAAGATTTGTTTGTTTTGGGCGAAGATATATGTGTGAACGAAGAGTAGACGGAAACCCACATCCATCTACACAACCTGGACAAATAAAACAAAATTTTTTTTAGTAGAGTTTTTTATAGGATAGTCCAAGCAAAAAGAGTAAATCGGAAATAATAATTAGATTTTTAAAAAGGAATCGTGTCACACATCCGAGAAATCGGGGATCTTAGAGATCTCCATGGAGATCTCCACCGGGACCCCAAATAAAACAGTATTCACATGCCACCCGAATATTAGACAGACTTGCTATTACAATTCTTCTCTAGAAACAACATCCAATCTCTTAACAAATCTCCATAAGAGATACCGTAACTCTCGCGTCTCATCTCTACTCAGATCTCTACAATCTCGAACTCTTTCTTTCTTATTCAAGTGCTCATTGCTCGAATTAGAGTAGAAGAATTCAACATTTTCAATATATACTTCTTCTGAAAATAGAATTTCATCAAGTTATGTTCTATTTTCATTAGTTAATAATGATTTTTCTTCCTGCTTGTCATCATCTGTTGATGTCAAACTCGATGAAACTTTTTCAGCGCATGACGTGCATGATAACTTCTCATGTTCTTCTATAAATATTGTTCATTGTTTTAATTTAGGAAATGAGAACTTAACGTTTTCATACCTTAATTTTAATAATAATTTATCATCAATTTCCTTTTCTAAGCAGAAAACAGAAAAAGAAAAAGCTAGGAATTTTTTGAAGAATGTTAAGTTGAATCGATTTTTTTAAATCACATTCAGTCAAAATCTATTGGAAAATTCTCGACTATAAATGATACAACTATTCATATAGTCAGACGTGTTAAAACATTAACGAAAGAGGAATTCTTCACAAAATAAATATGTAACCGATGTGGTAGCATATGCGCATACTGGTCTAAGTTCGTAATAGAAAACTTTTCAATATAAGCGATCTCGTGGGATCATAGTGTATGGTCAAAAGACAAAGTTTCTAGATACTGGACAATACAGTGCCATGAATTTCTTAATTTTAAAATGCAACATAGAACCACAAATATCGGTATTTTTTTTTTTCGTGCAACAGTTTCACAATAAAAGCAAAATTTTTCATATATTTAACCTGTTGATGAATCAATGTTTGACATTCAGTATATGTGAATGAATTAAGTTGATGCTATGCCAATATATTTTGTACTTCAATGGATAAACTTGGTGGTTTGACACTTTTAGTTGATATGTATTTATCAAATTATCGAATTTTTCATTTGACAATACTAATGATCGGCAAAGCTGGTGTCATTTAGCTAAAGTAAATGGTATGTTTTTAAAGTTACAGAGTTGTAAAACCAGCTTTTTCAAGTATAAGTGCTTGTCTTTGAACCTTTGATACCAGCAATTTCTGGCAAGACCATTTTTTTAAATTAATTCACCGAATGATGTGGTTAAAGCAGTTAAGTGAGGAAACCAAGACTTCCTTATTTGAGTGGCAACGACAATCGGAACAACTTCACGAAGACAAATATATATGAGCAATAGATCAGTCAATTGATTAATAACATTATTGAATGCAATCAGAAACTTTCAGAACAACAAAAGCTTTGTGAGGCTACTCGAGTAATATGATTATTCACCAAATGCTTTTTGTCGAACTGTAGGTGGTTTATTAGGTTCATCATTTTACTCATAATTAAAATTTTTAAATCATTTTCCGATCTGTGCATGAGTGAGGATTGGGCGAGTAGAAAGTTCTTTTAGCATGACCATCACTACTATTATACAAACATCTGAAAAAAATGAGCCTAATCTTTGGCAGACTAAAATGTGAAATACAATGCAGCTGCTGTCGCTCATCAGAGGACGATCACTTTTTTGTACAGACAGTTTTTGAGAGGTCTTTTCTCATTTTCCTGTCATTCAATCTCTCAAAAATTCAATAACGAAGTAGTTAGTATGTTCTAATTGACCGTTATTAATATGCTATTGGTGACCATATATCAACAACATATGTCATAACTTGTAACTGGTTACTGCGGCGTCTGTCACGGTCTGTGGAATGTAGAGGTCATAGGACTGAATTCAACTTTTTATACTACGCAATTTTAGCATTTCTTTTACATCTTGTTTCACGAAAACAGAGGGTTCTGGTGTAAGTATGCTTGGATGCGTGCGGATCTTCATCTTGAAGGTATGAAAGTGGGTGTAAAAAACTGAAATCACACTCACACCCTGAATTGGATTTAGAATAAGGCAGAAAATGGAACTCTTTTTTTTATAGCGACTAAGACTTTTCGCTCACTTTTAACAAATATATTATGTCAGAGTTTCGAAATATTTTGATTCTTTCAAAATGAACATCTTCCTCAATGGATTCATACTAAACTGACTTTATTCGTGATGTTTATTGTTTCTGCAGAGTCATCTGTAGGAAACTCGAGGTAGAAAGAGAACCGTTTTATTTCTTATCTAAATGTTAACAGACGAATATCAGTGCTGTAGGCAACAAAAGGACACATTTTCACGAAGAATCGTAATTTGCATTCTATATTCATAACAAGATCCTCTGTGAAGCGCATCAATAGAAAATTTACAATAGAACAATTAGTAATTACCGTTGCTGCTCCATCTACATGGTGTCCCAGAAATAATGTACCAAAAAGAAAACTGAGTATCTTCACTTGATTACAATCTACAGGGTTGACATTTTGCCTGATGATAGTGAAGCACTTTAAGTTTTCATTCTTATGAGTGGAGTGCACTAATAATGTTCAACAATATTAATTCTGACAGTAATATTGAAACTTCGACTTTTTCGATTGTTTAAAAGAGCTTTATTTTCAAATTGCTTCGTTTTTCGTGTCTTTTTTGTTGTTTCTGACTCGCTGACCTCATATACTGCCATTTCATAGCTATTTTTCACGCATCACTGAACTGGACACCAGTAGACATCTTTCTATTATGATATCAAAAAAAGTTTCTATGAAATGACAGTATTGTTGTCGACAAGTTAGAAACAGCAAAAATACATGAAAAACAAAGTAATTTGAAAATAAAGTCTTTTTTGAGAAAAATTGAAAAAGTTGGAGTTTCAATATTATTGTTAAAATTGATACCACTGTCCATTATCAGTGTGCTTCACTCATTAGAATAAAAATTTAGAGTACTCCTCTATCATTAGACAAAATATGAGCTCCTTACATTGTAATGAAGTGAAGATACTTAATTTTTTTTTGATAAATTATTATTATATACACTGTCACAGCATAAAAAAATAACAGCATAGTTGTGGTGTGAGTGGATTCTTCTGTGTATCGTTAAATTACAAGTACAATTACCATGTCACTATACTCATCACGCAATTACAATCATGAATTGAGTTTGTAGTGTGTTTCAAATTTCATGATATAACTAGTCTTGAATTATAGATATACAAAATATAACAAAATATTTCTTTCAATTTCCTCATACAAAAAGGAGAAGACGGAAAATCTAACTATTGGTATTAGACTTGTGTTGATTTCCAACTTTTTACCCAATCTATATACAGTCACTTATAGAAAGGTTTCTGAAAAGACCTATTCCAAATCACCATTCTTAGGGTAATTTGGCATCCCTTATAGTTAGTCTCCCTGACACGAACGTAGAAGCATTACTAGAAGAAATATTTAGAAACTAAACACGTCATTGATAGGTTAATAGGTTGTCTTTACTGTCTATTCAAATTTTTTTATCATTTAACATAAAATGGTTATAAGTACTACAACACAATACTTTAATTTCTCTTACCAAATCACTCCTTCTTACTCTATTTACAACGAAAGATCATTATACTACCGTTATACTCCGTTTCTAAATCTTTATGTAAATTGTTATTATCTTTCTGATTTCTTTGACGTTCTTCATAATATTGATATATTTTAGATACTTCTCTGACAGTGACAAAATGCGAAGGTGAATGATAAAATGTATCAAAGTACATTTATTAAACAAAGATAATATACGTATATCGGTGGATTCTTCAATGGATCTTCTTTTTAAAATATAGAATAAAAATTGTGAATTACTCTGTGATTCATTTCCTTTATGGTCTTAGGAATCGTTGCTGCTTGGCAAAGATATGTATGAAAAATGATGTGCAAAATAGAGGTTTTCGATAAGAAATAAAAAAGAGTTGACATATAGTTCGGATGATTTTAATTTATTTAACTAAAAAATGATTAGTAACGATATGAATGCACGAAATCAATTCATTGATAAGCAACCTATTTTAACTACTCAAGCAAAATACCAAATACAGGTTACACGCATGTATACTGCGAAAAACGTTATATAGCTATAGTATAGCAAGTGTGTTATTTTTGCTTGTCACTGTGTGCAAGCATATAACAGATATAGATAAAGATATGTGTTATCTTTTTATGCTTCGTCGTTGTGTGTATATGATATTTCTCATTCACTGAATCTAGGTTTATTGTTAAGAATGGCACAAATTCTCGTTATGCATACATGTAAGAACTAAAGGAAATGAAATAAACGAATAAATGATATTGTTTTTCTATTGAAGTTCTTATCCTGTGTTGTCTTTTATTCTTGACATCAGCTATAATAAGTCCGTGTGCACGATGGAATACAACAGGTGTTACTGTAGCTGGTGGCGTAAAAGGTAGCTTATCTAATCAATTGGATGGGCCTGAAGGAATATTTGTATACAAGCCGCTGAATAGATTATATGTGGCTGACTTCAACAACCAACGTATTCAAATGTTTTTACTTAATCAATCATCGCATACAGGTGTTACAGTAGCATCCAATGTCACGTTTCCTTCAAACGTCTATGTCGACGATGACGGAAATCCAGAGCCTACTGTCTATGCGACACTTTATAAGTCAGATCGCGTCAATCAATGAGTTAATGGATCAAAGGAAGCTGTACAAGTGGGTGGTGAATGCCGCTCATGTACAGGCATAGCAATAGACAACGAGAAAAATGTCTATATGTCAGAACCGACTAGACATCGAGTGCTTAAATGGTCACGTCGGACAAATAGTAGTACAGTTATTGCCGGTCAAACAGATCAACCAGGATCGACGAGTAACCAATTCCATAGGCCTCAAGGTATTCATATTGATCGAATCCACGGGACATTATATGTGGCCGATTCAGATAATAATCGCGTGCAAAAATGGTTAAAAAATTCACAAGACGGTGTTACTCGAGCAGGGTCAAGTTTGGGTGTGGCAGGCAATGATTCTGCATCATTCTCGGACCCAATTAGTGTTACAGTTGATGAAGTAACTAATATCTTATATGTAGCTGATTTTAATAATAGACGAATTCAACGTTGGCTACCAAATGCAACCAAAGGCGAAACCATTGCACAAGGATCGGGTATGCTCTTTACTTCAAAAAAATTAATTGAAGTATTTTTAAAGGAAAATTAAGATTATTTACGAGGGAAGGTCCCAGATGATTAAAAGCTTTTGAGATTGGCAAAATAGAACACCCTTCAAAGGGTTCGTGTTGAGGTTCAGATTTGACCAAAATATTGAATGTTGAGTGGATTTTCCCTGTATGAACCCCGTTTTTTTATGTAATCTTGTTGTCGAGTTATTATCTGAAAATTTTGCCCAGATGAAGGTCTCAGTGAGTGTAGCTTATGCACAAAACTTCAGCAGTTTTCAATGGAATGTTTCTAAGATATGACTTTTTTAGACTTTCGATGCTGCTCCATTAATATAGTGTAAGGCACGCATATTTTGGAGAATGCATACTTCAGAGACATTCGATTGAAAGCTGCTGAAATTTTGTGCAGGAGCTACACTCACTGAGACCTTCATCTGAACAAAGTTTTCGAATAATAACTCTACAACAAGATCTTATCAAAAAAATTTGGTCCATTCAGGGAAAATCCATTAAAAATTCAGTATCTCGGTCGAGTCTTAACCTTAACACGAACCCTTGGGAGGGTGTTCTAGTCTACCGATTTCCAACTACTGGACAATATATGAGATCAAAAACTTCTAATCCTTTGGGGACCTTCCCTCGTTAGTCAAGTTCTTCTTTTTGTTTTATCTAAATATAAACGATTGAGATCGATTTATTTTCATTTCAATCACAAATTATGCTACTAAGAGTCAACAGTTGTTGATAGAGAATCAATTTTCATAAATCAATAATGAAAAATTGAAATCGATTCTCCGTTAGAAGTATTTCTAGATGAAATGAAAAGAAATTGATTCCAATTTTGCTTTATTATTTAGATCATACCAGTGTCATCAATCAATTCTACGATCCGACTGACTTTGCATTCGATAGTCAAGGCAACCTGTATGTGTGTGACTATTTCAATAATCGAGTTCTTATGTTTGCTATAGACAATCGATCATGCAATTCACCATCTGCAGGTAATATTTGTACTTGAGAATTATTTTTATTGATTCTATTTTTTTTTTGTATAGCAAGCTCATTGTTGAGCAAGTAAGTTAGAGAAAGATATAACTTATACATGAAACAATAGATTTTCTAGGACAACAATAGCTATGATCGCTTGCTCAATATTCATATGGATCATGGTGACTCTATTTTGTGATCATTCACAAGCTTCCTGATGGTATTAATTAAACATGTTTCTATTGATCATTATTTTTTTTTTTGAACATGAATCATATCACATCAGTGAAAGTTTATTCAATTTTCGGGTTTGTTTCATTAATAATCAGTTTCGTTGATTCTTCAATGATGAAATGAAGTAGTATTTTATACAGTTGTAAGATCATCTGCAAAATAGTGGCCTGCAATAGTTGTTTGTTTTCGTGTGATGATTATTTATTCTCATATTAGTTGTCAAGAGAAAGAGAAAAGAGAAGGATCGTAAACCTATAAAATTTGTCGTCGATGACAGATTGCAAATCATTTCAATTACTTCTTGTTGAACTTTGATTCAAATAAGAAGAAAATAATTTTTTTTCATTTTTCCAAGGCAATAGCTGTATTGTTGATATGCAAACGAATAAAAAAGATGTCATACACTACATATAGTTTAATAAGAAACTTCACAACGAACAAACTTGGAGAAATATATTGAGTATATTCTCTCAGAAGACTTTCACAGGAACAAAACAGAAAAAGTAAAAATACTTAAAGGGTGTGGGTGTGGGTGCGAGTGTGGGTGTAGGAGTGAGAGTGGATGTGGGTGGGCGTGGGGTGGATGTGGATGTGGGTGTGGGTGTGCCTTCGATTCTTCTCAATAGATATCCACACCGACACGCACACACACACACACCCTTAACGGGTCTTGATTGACTGTAGATAGCCTCGATCGAATTAGTGATCCTTCAACTACGACAAGTGGTTTTTGACCTTTGACCTGCCACAAGCAAACATACATACAAACTCATTTTATTTCATATAACCCTCCCCAGGACGATTGATCCGACTGTCGAAAAAACCATTTGTTTTTATCGGATTCGATGCGGAATTCGTAGGAAGTTACCGGATTCTTTGGTAAAAGAAACCGACAGGAAGTCGTCAGATGTCAGAAAGTATTGGATTGACCGCGATTCTTGTCGGAACTCCGGCATTCCAACACTTTCCGACATCCGACGACTTCCTGTCGGATTCCTTTACCAAAGATTCCGGTAACTTTCGACGAATTCCTATCGAATCCGATTGGACAGCTTCGCCCTGCGTCCCTACAATTGAGGGAATATATCCCTCCCTACAGTCAACGAAATATCGTTATTTTCTCAAACAGTTCTTTCTTGACCGAAAAAATTCAACTCAAAACTTTGAAAAACCGACTTCAGATTCAGATTCTCAGCCGTCGATAACCTATAGGAAACTATCATCAAAACACTGAAAAGCCTCAAAACAAGCTAGCCTCTCGCAGATGTTTTTTTGACCTGCCACAAACACACATACACATACAAACTCACATTTTATTTCATATGACCCTCTCTACAGTCGAGGGAACAAATCCTATTACTCACCGTTCTTATTAAGTACTTTGAATCTATATTTGAACAGAACAGAAATAGCATTTTTTATGAGAAAAAAAAAGAAAATCCCTTGGAACCAGAAATTCGTCCCACCCCATCCCATGGGATTCCATGCGATGCCCCAGCCTATTCGGAGCTCTGCACCCAACCAACTAATGGTCCCGGTACTATCTAAAATAAAACATTTCATTACTTTTTTTACTATGATTCTTATCTAAATCTAAATGCAAATATAAAGCGAAATAATAGCAAGGATACAAAAGTGTAGTTAGCAATTGTGCATAATATGTTTCTAATCTTCACAGCTGCGAAAGACATGTGTTTTATTTTATCTAAGATAATCACATAACAAATCAAAAGAACATATATTGCTTGTCAAAAATGCTCGATATATTTTATTTCAAGTTACTGGTTCATTAAAAACAGTCACAAACACGATTATATCATTGAAAATATTTTAAAAAATGTGTTGTGAAAACTGAAAATTTGTTACCAGCTTGTACCATAACCAATAAGGTATTTTTAAAAAGCCAGGAATCCATCCTGATAACCAACTTAACATCGGTATTCGTCTAACAAGAAAACTAACCGATCGTGGATTAGACGGATATGTGCCTAAAAGTATTTATGGATACATAGAAGTATTAAACAACAAAATTCAATTTTACAAAACATACCATCTATATCAGGAATACTATAAGTTGTTCCATAATCAGCCGTAGTCACTACCGTTCCTGAGTATTGCATCAATGATGAATCTATAAAGAAAATATTTATTTGTATTGGTTAGATCAGAAAGGCTAACTTTGTGCCAGATGAGCAATAATACGACCAACATATTCTGCTGATTCTGTTTTACCATAGGTTTCAAACATTTTACGAAACTATTGAGCAAAAACTAATTGTTTTATAAAGAATAATAAAAGTTAATATTATACCCCGGTATTACGTTCTGATGCTTGAACAGTATCTGTTTCAACAAGACCTGGCCAAAGTGATATTGAAGCAACATTGTGTTTTTTTAACTCTATTGCTGTATCAGCTGCCATACGATCACACTAAATCTTTATCATGCTTCAAATTAAAAAGAACAAAAGAATAACTAACAGCGGTTTTTCCAACGCCATAGGCTACATGAAATAAATAGATAAGGCCACCTGCTGAAGATATGAATACAATTAAACCTTGTTTTCGAGGAACCATCAATCGAGCAGCATAAACAGCACAATAATAATGATTACTATAATCAAATAAAAAGTCTATTAAAGAATGGATATTCATTTAATTTATATTACCGTAAACCAACATTGTTAAGGTCATCAAAAATATCTGGTTCAGTTTCCCAAAATGGTGTACCAGATTCAATCAAGAGACGCTATAGAAAGAAGTAATTCAAAGTTAAGTTTTGATACAATGTCTTTCAAATACCTCAACCCCCTTATATGCATTATTAACTAAAATATCTAATCGACCATCTTGTTCCTTTGAAATTCGTTGAAATAATGCTTCAACTTCATCGGCATTTTCATGATCAACACGTAATGGAATACATTGACCACCTCGATTACGAATCTAAAAGAAATTAGATTTCAACTCTTTTATAATCAAATTATTGATACTCACAGCTTCTGCAGTCTCTTCTAAACTTCCACTTTTACCATCCGATGATTTTACTGTACGACCTTTTCATATAAATTATATATTTTTCAAAAAATAATCAAATAACATTCATTTCTACCTGTAACATAGACGAGAGCACCAGCAGCTCCTAATTCAACAGCAATGCCTTTGCCAAGGCCTCTTGTTCCACCTGTGACAAGAGCCACTCGCCCAGCTAATGATTTAGTCGCCATCTGAAAAAGAATACTCGTTTGTTGTTAGTTTTATGGGTTTCGCTACTAGTCGTATTTACATCTTAATACACAAAGAACACAAGAAAAAAATAATAAAATGCAGGTTAACAAACAGAGATATATGCACATGATACAAGATAAGAGTAGAACAAAAGATACGGAAAAATAAAGTCCAAAAATCAATCTCGTTCATTAAAAAAGGTAATTGAAGCAAGATATCGGTTGAACATAACTTCAAAAATCATATCATCATTAATTAAATCACAAAATGTTGGTCCAAATGGATTTGTTGTATTTGTTGATGATGAACGATGAAGACTAGGATCGATGGTGTGGGTGTGGATGTGGGTGTGGGTGGGTGTGGGTGTGAGTTATTGAAGAGCTGCACTCAAACTCACATC